GATCCTTTGTAGCAGCAAATGTGTGAGAAACTGGGCTAAAGGTGTTACTGCTGGACACTTTCTATGAAAACTTTTGACACACCCTGGTATGAAAGCCATATTCACCTGTGGCATATGAGATGCCCTTTCTTTAGGGTCAGGTAAGGGCATTTCCTATGACCACTTGCTCGTGTGCTGCCCATTCGTCAAGGCAGTTTCTGCTCGTAAACCTCACTGTGTGTCCTGGCCGAACATGGATTTTGGTTTCTCTTGTAGAAAGCTCAAGCTGAGACTGGATTTGTGATAATCTTTGACTGCATGTGTAATGGAGAGCTGTGTCTGGAGTAAGAGAGGTTTAAACTGCCCTCAGGTTTATTCTGCTGCACTATTTAGTGTTTCAAATGCTTGGTTTCTTTGGCTTTTTATGTCAAATAGTTTAGCTTCATGAGGTATATTAAAAATTTTTCTGGTGTAAACCTGAGTAAGTTTTGTGCAGCACAAAAAGAAAAAAAAAACCCCACACTCCTCCTTTTTTACAATGACGGCTTGTCATGACCAGATCTGTCAAGCTCCTAAAAATGACATAAAAACAACTTGTGCTCCATATTTTTTTTCATTATGATAAGAGCACAACAAAACATACTAACTTTGGCCAAAGTTAGTGTCGTTGTACAGAAAAGAGAAGTGAGAAATTTGTCCTTTTGTATTCAAAATACAAGAATATGCATTTGAAATGGCATGAGTGTTAGAAAAAAAGTTGTTTTCGGTGAACTAAAAATCATTTTTACAGAAATAAAAAAAATTATCACATAAATTATGAAAAAAACCCAGTAAAAAGATGTTTCCAGAAATTCCTGTGACGCATTATGATTGTTTTATTTCTGCTTGTTTTTGTTTTCAGTAAAAGTTAAGGCGTTTTGTAATAGCCTATATTCTGTTTTAAAGTTTATTGCACCAAGTTTGTGTTATTATTGCCTGTAATATTGTTTTTTACTCAAAAATCACACCAAAATATTTGAAAACAGAATATGTGCATAACCCATTGACTAATGTTGGTAATTTCAAAATAACCAAATATTGGTCTGTTAGCCTAATTGAGCAGTCTATAATTACCAATCAATCACAGACAGCATTCGCTGTTGACGCTTCGCTCACAGTGCTTGTTCAAATAGGGCTGCTTTTCCCAAAAGCATCAGAAGCAGAAACTAATACCACCACTGGTCTTTGCGATCAGCTGTAGCTGTTGACATCAGTAAGATTTTTAAAGAAAATGAACACATTTAATCAGCAAGGATGCATTAAATTAATCAAAAATAACAGTAAAGGCTTTTACATTTTTACTATATGTTTCTTGAGCACCAAATGATATTGATTTCTGAAGGATCATGTGACCTTGAAGACTAATTATGTGGAAAATTCAGCTTTGATCACAGATGCATTTTAAATTACATTTGAAAATATATTGCAATAGAAAATAGCTATTTTTAATTGTTATATTTTACCATATTGCTTTTTTACTGTATTTTTATTAAAATAAGTGCAGCCTTGGTTAGCATGGTTAGAGACTTCTTTCAAAAACATTACAAAATCTTACTGACCCCAATCTTTTGAACAGTATAGTGTACATGTTATATTTATTTTAATTAGGCTGTGCAAGTAAGTTTATTTAAACTGATTATTAAAAGTTGAAATGGATTGTGTTATGTTCTGTAATTGCTGTTAATAAATCTGTCAGAAAAAAACTTCGTTAGGGCTACAAGCTGTTAATGGCAGCTATTTAAAAAAATAACCATGTTTTCACTACAGTAACCACAGTTTACCACCGTATTTGTAGTAAAACTGCAGTAACCACAAAATTACGATGGTTGCCACTAGAGGAACTTTAGTATAACCATAATTTTTGTAGCAAAAACCATGGTAGTAATAATAATAATACATTTTAGTACATATGTAACACCATGGTTATTTTTCACAAGGTATCCTCAAAGGTACACCTTTGTACCTTATCTGCCCTTAAAGCATGCGTACTTGTATAGTACTAATATTCCCTTTTATGGGTAGAGAAGCTGCACCTTTGAGGTTACTGCCCCAGTAAATAGCTAAAATACAATTTTAGTACATTATTTCTGACAGTGTAAACAAAAAAAGGCCTATGAAATGTTTTAAATAAACATGGCTTTCAAATATAATGTTAAGTTAGTATAATTACTGATTTTATTCTTTTAATCATTTAAAAGATCAGTTTAGTTTAGAGGTATCGATATCGACGATGCTGGGCTTGAAAATATTGGATCGGATCGAAAATAAAATAAGAGTTATCGCCCATCACTACCTGTAAGTTGTCCTAGTCACGACTCAGCGCTGCGCTTTTGCTTCTGTGTGACTAACATATTTTGTTATTTTGATTAGATAATCAAGTGTAAGAGTATACAGTACACACAATATATCCCTATGTATGTGATTTCAATGCGATGGCCTCTGTGTAGATATTTAAAGATGGCCATCTTTAAGCGTGACTTGAAATGAAATTAAACACTCCATTTGTAACTAAGGTTTATAAAAGCTGAAGAAGTATTGTTCCTCCTTGTTTTAGTGTGTTAATTTCAACTTTTACATTTACTAAATTTATTAATTTAGTTTTTTAAATTTATTAATTTAGTTTAATTTACCTAAATTTCTGAGTGTACTGAATGAAGAGCTTGGGTTTAAGTTTTTTTTTCTTCTGTGAAATATTTGCATCTTGACTGCAAATTCTCTGAAATTTCTTATCTGGAATTCTTGTTTGTCATGATAATAACACATGTTTGGTTTTGTTCTTTTGTTGTCTGCGTACGGTGACGATGATAAAATGCAGAGTGTTTACTTCTGTAGGTTTAATGATAAGAACATGACAAATCATATCATCTCTGGTCAAAGTCTCAAAAGTGCTTTCACAATGTACAGTTGTGTGTATGTTCTGTTTGATTTTGAGTACAGCTGTGATACGATGGTTTCCAGTCATAGCTCAGTTCCTGTACAACCCCTAGCATGATGGTTTTGCTCCAAACCCAAACTAACAACTGATTCAATTTGCACCAATGTCAATTTGATCCTTCAAATTGTGGAATCAAATGTTGGACACTCTGTGTGGCAATTATCTAACTATATTTGTCATGTTATTTTAAAACCCACTGAGATTCGTGTGGCTCCAGTCTGCAGGCTGTGATAGGCACCGTTTCCTGTATTGTAATGAGATCTGTTTTCTTTTGTCACTATTGTACCACAACAAAGTAAAGTGGTGCCCTCAGCAATGGTAGATTAAATTGCTGTTGATTTGTTCAGGAAATTTAGTTCTTAAACTGGAATTTGGTAAGTCTAGAGCCTAAGTTTACAAAGAGAATTACTGAAGTCAACATAATGTTATTCACAACCATTTTTACTTCCGTAATGTGATGCATTTCTGAGTGAAACAGGATATTCATTAAAAAAATGTGGGCCAAGCCTTGTTTTGATCCATTGGGAATGGCATGAATTTTGAAAAATGCTAGTTGTCGCCTGTTAGTTGAAATTTCTATACTCTAACATGTTCAACTGTTGGTTCTGCTGTGATTCTAATGATACACACTTTACTCATATATCCTTTAGGCTTGCTGCGATAGACGGTGTTTTCGGTTATACCGGTGTTAAGCCGCAACACCGGTTACGTCATTTGCCTACCACGGCACCGCCCCCCACTGTCGTTTTGATTTTTTTTATGGTAACAAAAATCATTTAGCCTAGTTCAGTAAGAGGACAGACTCTTTTAAAAACTAGGCCTAAACGCTCAATGCAGCGTGCCGAACCATGCGCGAACGACAGTGCACCACGGAGCAGGAGTCAGATTTTATTTATCACGTGAAGAAGCCCTGCTTAGCTTCAGTGGGCAACCAGTCTTGTGCTACAGGGTGATATGGCTGCCGGCTGTTGCAAAGGCACCTGTTTGGCAATATTTTAGATTTTGAAAAGCCTATTGACTGGAAGTTTTTTTTTAAACATTCGTTTCTTATTTAATTGGTTCCACAGTGTTTGCCGATTACTTTATTTAAACTTTGTGTTTTTTATTTATTTTATTTTACATCAAGGTGTATATGCCGTGCATCCAAGCTTTCTTATTCGTTTTGCTAATAAAAGTTCTATGTTTCTTATTTATTTGGATCCACAGTGTTTGCTGATTTTCAGTTTTATATACCTATTTAAATTTTGTGTAGCCTAAGTAATTTGTTATTTTATTAGGCATATATGGTGTATTTTTATTCGTTTTGTTAATAAAAGTTCTGAGTTTGACATTGTTGTTGCTTGAATTGAATTAACGCCGAATTGCCGCTAATTTGAAAGT